GTCTTAGTTACTACGATAGAGCCGTAAGAATTGCAGGTAAGATATTAAATTATTAAAATTTTAATTTTATAATTTAAATTCAAGTCAATCTAATTTTACAAATATCTTTTCTTATGATTTATTAGTCTGTCTTTGATATATTATTCTATTTCTTCCTTTTTCATAATAGCTATCACTTTATTATAATTTTATTACTGAAATTAAATCCGTTCTCACTGTCGAACGTCAAATAAGTTTTGATTATTGTCTATTCTTCATTGAATTCTCTAATTTATATTTATCAGATTTTAAAATGATAAGCAATTATACGGTTTATTTTTAATTTTTTTTTCCATAGTCATTAGTAATTTATATAATATATTGTTTTCAATCTTGATAATTGTTTCTTATTTACATTATGTTCCTATATTCATATTCAATTTGAATTACGTTTAATTATTTTCAATGTTTTTTAACATACCATGTTTTCAAATGATTATTTTAATTATGTAATCAGAAAGAAATGAAGAAATATTTATGTATAAGATAAATGTTCCAAATTCCATATACATATAATATCACTAACGATAAAATAATGTCAATTTAGCAGTAAAAAATACTAAAATATGACTGCAGATTTCGATAAAGTTTTCACATAGTGCTAATATTATGAAAGCATATTATAGGATATCCATCAAAAACAGTACACGCGCGTTTTTGATATCTCTATATCTAAGTTATGAATGTTAGATCGGCATTGTTAACAGTATATTGATGCCTGAATCATAGAAGATATTACATCGAGAAAAATATGAAGAAAGATCTATATCAAGAAATTAATAAAAGCGATCTATTTCACGTCAAGACCAATTTATGTCAGAATGCATACGAAGTACGATTTATGTCCAGAAAGCAAGAAGAATGATTTAAATTTCGCATGAAATTAAAGAAGGGTCTAATAGCGCAATATTTACTACTCACACACATACACAAATTTTGTTACGGAAAATTAAATAATAGTTTTAAGGCGTTTAATGAGTGAAATAGTTATGTTAACGACAATTCTTTGCATGATTTTTTTGATAAAAAATGTATAAAATTAGAAATTATATTTTCCTACAGCTTTCAGTGGATAAACTTGAAAGTAAACATTCGAAAAAATTTAAATCGTGAGGTCTACAAAAATGGAAGAATTCAAAAAACATTACAATGAAATTAAGATTTGAGAATATCTCTGAATCGTTTGAGATTTGAATCTAAAAAAAAAAAAAATAAGTTTTAAACTTCAAAATTCGTAAAATTTGAATCGACATGAACGAACGCACAATGACACAAAAAAATGTATGCCAACATTATGGTAAGATTTATGTTTTTCGTAATTAATATTTTTAATGTTTTTGATAATTTTGTATTATTTCAACAGTTTTATGTCATTTTCATGCTTAAAGGTAATTAAAGAACATTATTATTTCAACGAAACATATTTTTTGTTTATAATTAATGCAATTTAAATATTTCATATTCTTTTTAAAATTATTATTATTATGATAGTTTGGAAAGATGATTTGAAAAAAATTGATTTGAAATATACAGTTATTTTTTTTAAGGAGTACGCATAAGCATGTACACTTACACTTTTTTTTACCTTTTTGTAAAAAACGTAATTTTATCTCGATATCATGTTCATATTTTGTATTTTTAACCGTGCAACATCACTAAGTCTTTTTATTATAACATTTTTTCGTTTAAAATAAATTTTTTAAATTTAAACTTTTAATTCTTTGCAATTAAATTTTACTGAGAGTTGGAATAGAAAAATATATATTTATTATTTGAGTGGGAATGGGAAGATTTTTAAATGAGAATAAAAAAATATGTACTACTAAGATTTTATTTTTAAGAAGTAAAGATTTGTAATTTGAAATATAGTTTTTCGCACATCAATTTTATTTTTTAAAGAAGTAATACAACAATAATGTTTGAAAAAAATATATATTATACTTGTAATTGATGCAATTTTATATATTTTTTGATAAAATTATACATTTGAATTGGTTAAAATAATTTTCTGGTATCATAATTTTTAAAATAAAAATATAACAGAAATTTGATTGAGAACCTTATATCTTCCAAATTTTTGCTTGTATGTGTAATAATTCTTTAATAAATAATCTAAACATTCCATTTTTAGTTTGCAAATCAGAATATTCTCGGTTTTTGATTGGTGGCTGCTATCAACCAATCAGCAAGTGAAACCTATTTGTTGTTCTGATTAGAATATAAGGGCTGCAATATGCAGTGCGTACTGTCAATGAATAATGCTGTAAAATATTTTATTAATTTTAAGGAAAAAAGTAACGAAATAGTAATGACTCGTT